AATCCGTGTATACCACTTCCACTGCTCTACCTTCATCCATGTGTTTGGTCACCTCTTCAAAGAATTGAATAAGGTTTGTGAGGCCTGATCTATCGCTCACAAATCCATGGTGTTTGCGTCAATCAGATAATTCCCAGCTTTTACTGATGAAATATCAATTTGGGACAGTACTGTGACGTCCCTCGTTCTATTGTCAGGAAAGAGGTGAATGTGTTTAATAAACTCATGATTATTTGTACAATGAACAACTTCCACTCGTACAACAGATCCATGTAATCCCCTGATGTTCATCTGTGAAATGGATTGATGTTCATTCTCAGAAACTAATTAAAAGTAAACTCGCTGTCTTTACTGGTTAACTACAGTCCCACTCACACTTTGTGTTAATCTGTATGAAAATACTGTGCTCACCTATGGGATAAATTTGTGTTCCTGGCTGCAGAAGGTTCTGTTCCCTTGTCTGGATAAAAGTGTTTTATACCCGTTTTGAAACTGCAGCTTAGTCTCTGTGCGGGTTTTAGGTCTGGGGCCAATTTGTGTGTGCGCGTGTGTGTGTGAGAGAGAAAGAGAGAGTTTGTGTGAGTGTGTGTGGGGGCGCAGGGGTGCAAGGGAGGAACAATCAGGAGACATTGGACTGAACTTCTGGGTTGCTGCTTTCTCTCCCCCTCCTCCTCCCACACCCCTCCCCCCCACCTCTAACCTCACAAAGAAGCTTCTTGGTTTGCTCCATATCTGGAGGATGTGTGTTCCAGGTAGAGACAGCTAGGAACTGATTGGGTAGCTGGGATTTGGGAGGAGAGAGGGGTTTGAATGACCGAACTTGGGGTTTATAAAATTGGTCTTGGCAGCCATTCTTCCCTTCTTCATGTAGAGGCTGAATAGGCTGGGGCTATTTTCCCTGGAGCATCGGAGGCTGAGGGGTGACCTTATAAAAGTTTATAAAAGCATGAGGGGCATGGATAGGGTGAATAGCCAAGATCTTTCTCCCAGGGTAGCAGAGTCCAAAACTAGAGGGCATGGGTTTAAGGTGAGAGGGGAAACATTTAAAAGGCACTTGAGGGGCAACTTTTTCACACAGAAGATGGTGCGCGTATAGAAGGAGCTGCCAGAGGAAGTGGTGGAGGCCGGTACAATTACAACATTTAAAAGGCATTTGATGGATATATGAATAGAAAAGGTTTAGAGGGATATGGGCCAAATGCTGGCAAATGGGACTCAATTAATTTAGGGTGTCTTGTCAGCATGGATGAGTTGGACTGAAGGGTCTGTTTCTGTGCTGTACATCTCAATGAGTCTATGGCCTTGATGTGACCAGGGGGAGGCAATGGTCTAGGGGTATTATTGCTGGAATGTTAATCCAGAGACCCTGCCAATGTTTTGGGGACCTGGGTTCGAATCCCGCCATGGCAGGTGGTGGAATTTGAATTCAATCAATATCTGGAATTAAGAATCTAATGATGACCATGAATCCATTGTCAATTGTCGGAAAAACCCATCTGGTTCACTAATGTCCTTTAGGGAAGGAAACTGCCATCCTTACCTGGTCTGGCCTACATATGACTCCAGACCCACAGCAATGCGGTTGACTCTTAACTGCCCTCTGGGCAATTAGGGATGGGCAATAAATGCTGCCTAGCCAGCGATGCCCCTCATCCAATGAATAAAGGAAAAAAAAACATCAAAAGCAGTCATTCTCATGTCACCTGTGGAGTTCAGCTCTTGGTGTTCATGTCTGAACTGAGATTGTAATGAGATCAGGAGCTGAGTGGCCCTAACAGAACCCAAACATTGTAGACTGATGGGGAAATAATTGGTTGATTGGATTTGTTCTGCTTTTTGTGGATTTACATTGACAAGTTTCTGCACTTTCATGTAGATGCCAGAGTTAGAACCATATTTAACCTCAGGAGCACGGCTGGTTCTGAAGCTCAGTACCACAGCCTGGATCTTGTCAGTGCCTATTGCAGTACCCAGTATCTTCATCCATTTCTTGATTTCATATAGAATGAATTGAATTTGTTAAAGGCTGGTGATCCAGGGACCTCAGGAGGAGGCCATGTTGAATCATCCACTTGGCACTTAAGGATGGCAGCCATGGTCCCATTGATTGGCAGTGCAGACCTGGGGGCTGAATGGCCTCTGATGCTGACATGAATTCCATCTTCCCTCTGGCTCATCCTATAACCTGGCCAAACTGTCCAGCTGCAAGACAAACTTTCTCTGCCATTTGTCTTGGAATGACCAATCGGGCCCTCATATACAACATGCATCCCAAGCCCCAAACTCATAACTAACACTAACCATGACCTGAGAGTGTGGAGTCATCTGTTGACTGACTGATGGAAAAGTATGAAAGCTTTCCTCTTCCTAAACTGGCCCTACCTCAGTCTCAGTAAGGGCAGAAGGTATAACAGTTTGATTACATGCATGGACAGATTCAAGAACAGCTTCTTCCCTGCTGTTCACAGACTTTTAAATGGACCTTTCAAATGTTAATTCTGATCCCTCTCTCTGTGCACCTTCTCTGCAGCTGTGACACTGTATCCTGCACTCTGTCCTGCTACCCATAATGCAATCAACAAACATGTAGAACTGGACACCATATATAAAACCCATACAAAACTGGAAATGACAGTACTCACCATAATGGATCAGACAGTATAAATTCCAAGTGGAGTAGAATAACATCGCTTCATCGGAGGCTCCACTGATGATGTTACCTAGCATGGTGACGAAACGTCTGAACGAGAACAAGCCAGCTCGGGGAGCAGGTCAACAACCTCACCCACAACCCAAGCTACAGATCTTAGCTAAAACTATAAACCCTGATGCATTTTATATGGTACGATCTGCCTGTAGAGCACACAAAACAATACTTTTCACTGTATCTTGGCACTCGTGACATCAAATCAAATCAACAAAACTCCAACCTGTTAACAGTGTGTTCTCTCTCTTTCTTCCTTTCTTCCTCTCTCCCATTGTCCCTCTCCCACATCCTCCACTATAACATGGCCCTGATCTGTTTTAACTGTCTGAGATCTTTCTGGCAATTTAGTGTTCAATTGTTCTGTGTTTGATACTAATCTGTGCTGACTGTGCTCATTTGGTCAAGCCTGGGTGTAGACTCTGGGAAAAGTCAGCAGATTAACAGGAGGTATGAGAAGCTGAGAAACGAAAGGATACTGTAGGCACTTTAAATCATGGTATAAAACTCTGTAAATAGGGTTCCTGCACACACAGAATCTAGTGTCATCTCTGCACAGCTCTGAGGCAAATCTTACATAAAATGAATAAGAAATGACTGTGTTTTTTTGTTAGGATTAGTTCATTTGGTGCAAGATTCTTTGTACTTGGTAAAAGCCTGAATGTGAAAATTAAATACAAGATTTTGGAAAAGGATGATCTGGACAGAGGCTTAACGATTAGCACTGCTGCCTCACAGCGCCAGGCACCCGGGTTCGATCCCACCCTCGGGCAACTGTCTGAGTGGAGTTTGTACATTCTCCCTGTGTCTGCGTGGGTTTCCTCTGGGTGCTCCGGTTTCCTCCCACAGTCCAAAGATGTGCAGGTTAGGGTGGATTGACCATGCTAAATTGTCCATAGTGTTCAGGGATGTTCAGGTTGGGTAGGTTATCCATGGGAAATGCAGGGATATGGCGATAGGGTTGGGGTCTGGCTGGGTTGCTCTTCGGAGGATCAGTGCAGACTCGACAGGCCAAATAGCCTCTTCCTCCACTGTAGGGATTTTGTGATGACGGAGACAGAGGGGGATTTGAAAACTAGTTCTGATCTTCAGCAGGGATTCAGCTCAGGCGGAACGTTACAAAAGTTTGCATTCAGGGATGTGATATGAGCGTAAATCCGTCCGTTGAATTTCCCCAGAAACTTGCAGCACGGATCATGGACAGTGCATGAGGGAAAATTCCACTCGCTCTCAGCAGAAGAGGCAGTAACCCAGTCCAAAGATGTGCAGGTTCAGTGGATTGGCCATGCTAAATTTTCAGGAATGTTTTCATAGTTTTCCCATAGTTTTCATAGATGTTCAGGTTGGGTGGGTTATCCATGAGGGAAAATTCCATTCCCTCTCAGCAGAAGAGGCAGTAACCAGATCCATACTTTCCGGTCCTCAACCAGGAATCAACTCTTGCCAGTTTTCTCTTGACTCCATCAGATAGTTTTAAAATTGACTTACAGGATGAGGGTGCCACATTTATTGCCCATCCCTAGTTGCCCTGGAAAAGGTGGTGGTGAGCTGCCTACTTGAACTTATTTAGGAGAATGTGTTATTTTGTGAAACTGGGGGTTAAGGTGAAATGACCCTCACTCTCCAATCTCTTACTGTCTGTGACTGGTGTGAAATGTAGATGGTTCTGAATCCTCTGCAGTTCTTAACATGTCAGTTCCCTTTTTTTGCAGAATCGGCCGAATGTCGCAGATACTATGGAGAAACATAATGGGTTGTCACTGCCCTTTGTGAGGAAGGAAGCGCTGAGTGCCAGTCTGCCACCACTGCCACACACCGAGGGACGCTCATCACCCAGGTTGTTACAGAGCCTGCCATGGTGGGGCTTAAGGATGGGGCAGTGCCCCCTCAGTCCCATCCTGAAGCGTAAGATCACTGTCAGCTGCTTCACGCAGCACAATGACAGTATGCTGGCTGATGCCAACCAAGACCCTGTGCCCGAGCCATCGCCAATACCTGCTTTTAAGAATAAGGCCGCACCAAGTCGACCCCTGACTCTGACAAGGTCGCAGCCGGGCCAGGTGACCGTAGGCGCGCTGTGCCCAACGAGGTCTCAGAGCCCCCCCGAATCGGAGACAATCGGCTGCCTTCTTTCTGCCCAATCCACCAACGGGAGAGGGCGGTGCCCCCCCACCAGCTCCGCGCTGAGATACAAAGACCTCACCATCAGCAATGCACAAAGACAAGAAGCGGACCTGGATGAGCTGTTGAAGAAAGCGTCGGCCCTCATGTGGCACGGCCCGAATCGGCACGCAGATCCAAACGTGGCCCTGAAGCTTCATCCTGTGCAAACAGTCACTATTTCCGAACAACGCACAGAGATCTCCCAGCAGGCCAGTAACTCAGATTGCCAGACAAATGCCTCCGAGGTGCTAGCTACAGGTTTAGAATGCTTAAACTCTCATTTCTGGCTGGGTTCTGACCTTCCCAATGCCCAAGTCCCAATTTTGACCCAGAATCCAAAGGAACCTTGCACATCACCATCACAGAACTCAACCCAAGACACACATGGCATCAGACTGCCTGGTTATACTTTACAGCCTGGTCAGGAGATCAGAGCTCAAAACGTCTTGCAGAATTCACATCCAAAAGGTTCATTGGATTCAAATGATGAGAAGCCATCTCAAGATGATGGATGGCCATGCACCAGGATTGTGGGATTGCAGTCTTGTAGCCTTTTCCCAACTCGATATACCAGGATTGAAAGTAGCATTCCAAGGTTAGATCCGAAAGGTACATTAAGAGATATGAGGGCACCTCCAAGTGGACATGGGTCATTAGATACACCTAAAGACTCGACAAGTCTCGGGCTCAAAGATAACAGCTTCGTTCCCACTCAGGACATCAGGATCCCACAGAGACAAAGTACATTGGAGTTAAGAAATCACCACAAACTGAGCCCCACTCAACACCAATCACTGAATTTGTCTCAGTGCATTGACCAAGATGATGCGCTTCCCACGCCGACACTGTACACCAATCTCCAGCGAAGACTACAAAAAGGAAGATCCAGGGTTGCTTCAAGCTTAAAGGAGGTTGGGCCACCATTGGAGTTGGGTGCCAATCACAGGAAGCAACAGGACGACTCAAAATCTATTGAGTGTTCACGAGTACCAAGAGAAGCGAAGGGAAGACAATTTCATGAAGGTTAGGCCACATGAACTTTAATCTCTCTTCCTTCCCTTACTCTGCAATAGTCTGTCCCTCTGACTATCTTGTTGTTTGTTTTTAAGTCTGAAGATGCCACCCATTATGCTGTTCACCCTGTTAGTTGTCCATCTTCCCTTGATCATCACCCTCTTCATGTTTCCTCGTTGTATTGCAATTGCGTCTCATCCATTCTCACTCAGTTCTATTACAGAATCATAGACAACTTGCCTTTTTTAGTCTAGGGACTCCTGTGGCACAATGGTCTCTACCTCTGAACCAGGAGGCCTGGGATCAAGTCCCCTCTGCTCCAGCAATGTGGAATAATATCTCCGAACTGGTTGATTTTAAAAATACCGACCCTTGTCAGTCTACCCTTTGGTTACAAAGTAGAGCAATATTGACCATCTCAACCCGTTTTTTTATGGTAATTTCCCAGCAGACCTCTCTCCTTTAAAAGCTCACTCACCCGCCATGTTTGCACACCAGGAAGGGTGACCCAAATGGAACCAGACCTTAGAATTGTACAATCCCTACAGTGCAGAAAGAGGCTATTCAGCCTATTGGGTCTGCACTGATTCTCTGAAGTGCATCCCACTCCCTATCCTATCGCCGTAACCCCACATTTACCATGGCTAACCCACCCAGCCTGCACATCCCTGGATACTATAGGCAATTTAGCATGGCCAATCCACAAACCTGCACATCTTTGGACTGTGGGAGGAAACTGGAGCACCCGGAGGAAACCCACGCAGACGCGGGGAGAATGTGCAAACTCCACGCAGACAGTTGCCCGAGGGTGGGATTGAACCCGGATACCTGGGGCTCTGAGGCAGCAGTGCTAACCACTGAACCACCGTGCCAGCCCAGATATAGCCCTGACACAGCAAGGGAGGGAGTTAGCTGGCAATGCCCGAGAGCTGGTACACCCACTTCCACTCCCAGTTTTAATGGTCAATGGGGCCAGGCCTGCAACCTTCACCTCTCTTACCACCCCACTCACCCCAAATACCTCCATACCATGTCATATACCCCATGTCCCCTATTATTCCTCATGTCCTCTAATATTCTCATGCCATCCTTTGACCAATGCCCCTTTCATGTCCCCATTAAGCCCACGCACCCCATGTCCTCCATGCTCCACATACCGCAATCCCTCTTCATGCCCCTGAGTCCCTCATCCAGTGGGCAAACATCGGGGAACGTAACATTACTTTGGAGATGAGGTCAAAATTCAACTTCCAACAATCTAATAATGCTCTGACTGAAACACAATTCATACTGAACACAGAGATAGTAGGAACTGCAGATGCTGGAGAATCTGAGATACCAAGGTGTAGAGCTGGATGAAC